ATCTGATCTGCGGCCACATGTCTTGGACACTCGGGTGAAGAGAGGGGCGGAGCTGTCAACTGATCACTACCTGGTGGTGAGTTGGCTCCGATGGTGGGGGAGGATGCCGGTCAGACCTGGTAGGCCCAAACGTATTGTGAGGGTTTGCTGGGAACGTCTGGCAGAGTCTCCTGTGAGACGGAGTTTCAACTCCCACCTCCGGGAGAACTTTGAACATGTTCCAAGGGAGGTGGGGGACATTGAGTCTGAGTGGACCATGTTTCGTGCCTCTATTGTCGAGGCGGCTTACCAGAGCTGCGGCCGCAAGGTTGTCGGTGCCTGTCGCGGCGGCAACCCTCGAACCCGATGGTGGACACCGTCGGTGAGGGATGCTGTCAGGCTGAAGAAGGAGTCCTATCGGGCCTTTTTGGCCTGTGGGACCCCGGAAGCAGCTGATGGGTACCGGCAGTCCAAGCGACATGCGGCTCGGGTGGTTGCTGAGGCAAAAACTCGGGCATGGGAGGAGTTCGGAGAGGCCATGGAGAACGACTTCCGCACGGCTTCGAGACGTTTCTGGTCCACCATCCGGCGTCTCAGGGGGGGGAAGCGGTATGCCACCAACACTGTTTATAGTGGGAGTGGTGTGCTGCTGACCTCAACTCGGGATGTTGTGGGTCGGTGGGCGGAATACTTTGAAGACCTCCTCAATCCCACCGGCACGTCTTCCACTGAGGAAGCGGAGCCTGGGGACTCTGGGTTGGGCCCTCCAATCTCTGGTGCTGAGGTCGCAGAGGTTGTTAAAAAGCTCCTCGGTGGCAGGGCCCCAGGGGTGGATGAGATCCGCCCGGAGTTCCTTAAGGCTCTGGATGTTGTAGGGTTGTGTTGGCTTACGCGACTCTGCAATGTTGCGTGGACATCGGGGGAAGTTCCCCTGGATTGGCAGACCGGGGTGGTGGTCCCCCTATTCAAAAAGGGGGACCGTAGAGTGTGTTCCAACTACAGGGGAATCACGCTCTTAAGCCTCCCTGGTAAGGTCTATTCGGGGGTTCTGGAGAGGAGGGTCCGTCGGATAGTCGAACCTCGGATTCAGGAGGAACAGTGCGGTTTTCGTCCTGGCCGTGGAACACTGGACCAGCTCTACACTCTCAGCAGGGTCCTGGAGGGTGCGTGGGAGTTTGCCCAACCAGTCTACATGTGCTTTGTGGACTTGGAGAAGGCGTTCGACCGCGTCCCTCGGGGGGCCCTGTGGGGGGTACTCTGGGAGTATGGGGTACCAGGCCCTTTGATACGGGCTGTTAGGTCCCTGTATAACCGGTGTCAGAGCCTGGTCCGCATCGCCGGCAGTAAGTCGGGCTTGTTCCCAGTGAGAGTTGGACTCCGCCAAGGTTGCCCTTTGTCACCGATTCTGTTCATAACTTTTATGGACAGAATTTCTAGGCGCAGCCAAGGTGTTGAGGGGATCCGTTTTGGTGGCCTCAGAATTGCGTCTCTGCTTTTTGCAGATGATGTGGTCTTATTGGCTTCATCAGATCGTGATCTACAGCTTTCGCTGGAGTGGTTCGCAGCCGAATGCGATGCGGCAGGGATGAAGATCAGTTCCTCCAAATCCGAGGCCATGGTCTTGAGCCGGAAAAGGGTAGAGTGCCCTCTCTGGGTCAGGGAGGAGGTCCTACCCCAAGTGGAGGAGTTCAAGTATCTTGGGGTCTTGTTCACAAATGAGGGAAAAATGGAGCGTGAGATCGATAGGCGGATAGGTGCAGCGTCTGCAGTGAAGCGGGCGCTGTACAGGTCTGTCGTGGTGAAGAGAGAGCTGAGTCAAAAGGCGAAGCTCTCAATTTACCGATCGATCTACGTTCCCACCCTCATCTATGGTCACGAGCTTTGGGTTGTGACCGAAAGAATGAGATCTCGGATACAAGCGGCCGAAATGAGTTTTCTCCGCAGGGTGTCTGGGCTCTCCCTTAGAGACAGGGTGAGAAGCTCGATCATCCGGGAGGGACTCGGAGTAGAGCCGCTGCTTCTCCACATCGAGAGGAGCCAGTTGAGGTGGCTTGGGCATCTGTTTAGGATGCCTTCTGGACGCCTCCCTGGTGAGGTGTTCCGGACACGTCCCACCGGAAGGAGGCCCAGGGGAAGACCCAGGACACGCTGGAGGGACTACGTTTCTCGGCTGGCCTGGGAACGCCTCGGGATTCCCCCGGAAGAGCTGGCCCAAGTGGCTGGGGAGAGGGAAGTCTGGGCCTCCCTACTTAGGCTGCTACCCCCGCGACCCGACCCCGGATAAGCGGAAGAAAATGGATGGATGGATGGATGGATGGATTGAACAGAGATCTGTGAGATGTTCAAAGTTTGGGCTATTGTCTTATAACCTAATGTTGCTTTAAACTTCTCAACAACTCTATCCATGACCTGTCTGTAAGTAAGTAAAGTTTATTTATAGAGCGCTTATCACAGACATAAAATCACAAAGCGCTGTAAAATAAAAATCAATGCTAAAATATACAAAGAATAAAACAAGCATAAGAACTACAGTACAAGAAGCACAATAACTGGTGTGTTCCTTGGTCTTCATGATGCTGTTTGATCACTAATGTTCTGTAACAAACCTCTAAAGCCTTCAAAGAGCAGCTGGATTTATACTGAGATTAAATCACCGGTACATACTGGTGAACTCTGTTTACCATTCTTCCTTCTGCTGCAGTTATTTGCTGCTTTGTGTTCATTTATTACATTAAAACACTTTTACAATTTCTGATTATTTTTTTGCAGTTATTATTTGACTAAATTTAGAGAAAAGTTCAAGAAGAATGAATACTTTTTCAAGGCACTGGATTCTGTTTAGCTATTTGAATTGGACCTTTTCTTGTCATGTCTCCAACAGGTCCTAAGGCCAACACATCAGAGCGCAGAGCCGCCATGTCTGCAGGGCAGCAGTTCATCAAAGACAAGGGCTACAGCCATAAGACACAGGTAAAGCTGACAGATTCATCCTTGATCGCACAGAATGCCACGTCACAAAGCCCAAAATAACTGAAGACCTTTACTTCCAGATCCAAGTGCTTCCTGCAGGAGCTGAGACCACGTTGTTCAAGCAGTTCTTCAGTGACTGGAAAGACAGGGAGCAGACGACAGGACCCAGTAAGGCCTACACCATCGGCCGCATAGCTAAAGTGGAACAAGTCCCCTTTGATGCCTCCACCCTCCACTCAAACAACGCCATGGCAGCTCAGCATGGCATGGTGGACAACGGCAAGGGCAAGATCCAGGTAAGACCGTATGAAAAAGGTGAAAAGCTGCCGTGGAGCGTCAGGCTGATGGGTGGTGTCGTCTGGTGTTCAGATCTGGAGAGTTGAGAACGGTGACAGGGTGCCTGTGGATCCTGCGAGCTACGGTCAATTTTTCGGTGGAGACTGTTACCTCATCCTGTACAGCTACGGACAAGGAGGCCGGGAGCAGCACATCATTTACACCTGGTGGGTAACAAGAGACAGCAGAACACCCATGTTCTGACCTGAAGGAACGTCCCTCAGTGTGTGTCTGCTCCATCAGGCAGGGACTGAAGTGCACCCAGGACGAACTGGCAGCTTCAGCGTTCCTCACAGTGAAGCTGGATGACTCAATGGGAGGAGCCCCAGTTCAGGTTGGAACAGAACAAACAAGATAATTACACATCACGTTAATATTACTGTATATCTATTTATCTAGATATCTATTTATCTAGATATCTATATATCTAGATAAATACTTGGTTCAAGGAGACTTTGTCCTTCACATCACATGTGGAACATGAAGTGGGACTAAACTGTGTAATCAAAGTCCAGTTGCACTCAATA